TATTCCTATATTCTGTAACTTTCTAATTGATTCGTTCAATATAATTCATATAGTTCTCATCATGGACAAGGAAATCAGACTGCTAGTATCCAATACAACTATATATAGTATATCTAGTTGTGCTAAATATTATTTATATTATTATTGATAGTACTCAATACAATAATAGCAGTTTGATTCACGAAATAAATTTTGAGGTAATAGGAATGCTATTCCATAAGGAATGGAATAGGCAAGGAATAGAATAGGAATTGTATTTTATTGTTTGGTTCGCAGAAGGAATAAACTTTAAGAATTATATTACAGTGTTTTGTTTGATTTAAGGAATAGAAATGAAATATCTTTTAAAAGACATAAATACCCTTGTAAAACTATGTGATGGTAGCTATGGTGGCGGTGGTGGTGGTGGCGGTGGTGGTGGTGGTGGTGGCAGTGGTATTACTGGCGGTGGCGGTGGCGGTGGCGATGGTGGCGACGGCAGCGGTGGCGGTGCTAGGGTGGTGCTGGTGGCAGCGGCAGTGGCAGTGGCGGTAGTGCTGCTGGGGTGGTGGTGGCGGCATGATAAACATATTTTTACACTTTAATTTATATAGGTTTTTATAGTATATTTATATTTATTATTTGTCTTTATATTTGATTTTAATGTTTTTAGAGTTGAAGTGGTGATTAATTAAAATAAGTGTTTTATATTAATTTTTGGCCTAGTCTTAAGTTTTATTTTTATTTTAGTCATGACCCAAATGAATTATTCAAATTTTTTTAGTGTTTTTAATAAAAACCCAATTCTTTACTTGTTTAATTAGTTCAAGATCAATTATCTAACTTAAACATTTATACTAAATAAACAAAAGAAATTCTCTTGTTTGTTTTCCCAGCTCATGAACGTACCAAAGACTCTGTCGACAATAACCAACTGCAGTGCAAATTTTTACGGAGAATTGACTAGAAATTGCGGAAGACTTGGTCGTCAGCACAAAAATAGGAGAGTTGGACGGTGGAAGATTAATTAGAACATATTTTAGAAGTGTATAAATAGAGATGAATTTCTCTTGTTAAGGGGCGTCCAATTCTACGTTCATTCTCCTTCCTTTAGATTATTCTTTAAAGTTGTTATCAATGTCCATTCGTGGCTAATTTCTTCTAGCTTGTTTTAATGAATTGAAGCCCCGAAATTCATTATGCTGTGAGATTATTTATTTATTTTGTTATATAATTTTTATGCATTTGAGTATTAAATATTCTTCTAAGTTATTTGAATAGTTGTATCATTTAATTGCTAGGGAGGCCTACTAGTTATTTATTTGATATAATTATTTGCTATATTAGATAATGTTGTGCTACAACTTATTCTAATTCCAAGTAGCAACTGAGATTTATTATTGACGGCTTTAGTAATAATTGGTCTCAAGTATAATATTTTCCTAAATTAAATGCAACCGCTTGTGCTTGTGTTATTTAGTTTGTCGTTTTTCCTAGTTCCTATTGCTGCTATTAAATTAAATCTATAGCGCTTGTCTTAGATTATTTAGTAGTTAGGGGTAATTAAATCGCGTGTGCTTTAGTTATCTACAACTAGGGGAAAACGGAAATGAAATAATTTCACGACAAATATTCAATTGCGTATTAATTACCTTTTGAATCAATGATCAGTGCTAAATTCCCGTGGTGGATATTTACTAACCAAGGTTTTCTATTATAAGTGCTTTCAATATATTGTTTTCATTGCTTTATTCGTTTATTTACTTTGATTATCACTTTCATACCAAACCCCATTTCCTTTAATTTGAGCACATACATTAAACTAGTTACTCCTCGTGGGATCGACCCTTACTTCTGCTACTACGTTTGTAAGGTTCTAATTTGGAAGCCTACGACAGCTCGCCAAATTTTGGCACCGTTGCCGGGGAGATTCTCTAGTTCATTTTGTGTTTGTTTGTTTGTTTTTTCTTTTCATTTGTCCCAATTTTTTTTAAAAAAAAATTCTTTTCTTTCATTACCATTACATAATTACTGCAATATCTTTCGCGGTTTATGCCTATAACTCGATCTGCTAATCAAGAAATCTTGCCATACGATCCATAAATTGAAAGAACTATACGCAAGTGGAGGAAACAAGCTTTGAGGAAATTGGAGTTTAGTGTCTGGCTACCGATCCCCAATCTTCCACCAATTCTAATTTAGAAGAAGAACCCATGACTCAAAATCGGACCTTAAAAAAGAGCCTGGAGCTCCAAATTTAGATCAGCAACCTTTATGCATCACTTTCCCTACTCTAGATGCTAATATACAACTTGAATTAAAATCTTGATTAATTCATCTTTTGCCTTCTTTTCATGGACTTGCAGGTGAAGATCCTCACAAACACTTAAAGAAATTCCAAGTGGTGTGTTCAAGTATGAAACCCACAGGGGTTACTGAAGAACAAATCAAGTTGAGAGCCTTTCCCTTTTCGTTGAAAGATTCAGTGAAGGATTTGCTACACTATCTACCTTCTTGGAGCATCACCACATGGAAAAACTTGAAGACAGTGTTTCTTGAAAAATATTTCCCAACTTCAAGGGCGGCCAACATTAGAAAGGAAATATGTGGTATAAGGCAAAACAATGAAGAATCATTGTATGAATATTGGGAGCGTTTCAAAAAGCTTTGTGCAAGCTGCCCACACCATCAAATCAGTGATCAACTACTCATTCAATACTTTTATGAAGGACTTTTTCCAACTGATAGAAGTATGATTGATGCCGCAAGCGGTGGTGCTTTAGTTGACAAGACACCAGACGCTGCAAGAACTCTAATTGCAAACATAGCTGCAAATTCTCAACAGTTTGACAATAGACTTATTCAACTGTCTAAGCAAGTGAATGGGGTAAATATTTATGCTCTTGAACAACAAATTTCTGGTTTAACTACTCTTGTTGTCAATTAGCAGTAGGCAATATGCAAACTGTAAAAGCATGTGGAATTTTCTCGGTAGTTGGGCACCAAACTGATGCCTGCCCAACTCTTCAAGAAGAACCTATTGAACAAGTCAACATGGCTGAAGGTTTTCCTGGACAACCTCAAGGTAAGTATGATCCATTTTCCAATACATATAATCCTGGATGGAGGGATCACCCGAACCTTAGATATGGGAACTCACAAGGGAACCAGTTTGTTCAGAATCGTTCCAATTTTCAACAGTACAGACAACCATTTCCTTCAAGACAACAACCAACCCAAAACTCTAGCTCAGGTATGAATCTAGAAGATATTGTTAAATCTCTTGCTACTAACACTTTGCAGTTTCAACAAGAAACACAACTATTCCAACAAGAGACAAGAGCTAATATTCAAGAAATAAAGGCTAGTATTCAAAACTTAGAAAGACAAATGGGCCAACTAGCAACTACGGTAAGTCGGTTGGAAGCAAAGAGTTCTGGCAAATTACCCTCTCAAACGATTGTTTTTAGGCGACATACTTCTCACAGCGACATACTTCTCACAGTAATTGCACTTATATTCTCTTTAGGATTAACCACCGTTTGAGAGGGTAGTTTGCCAGAACTCTGTGCTTCCAACTGACTTACCGTTGTTGCTAGTTGGCCCATTTGTCTTTTTAAGTTTTGAATACTAGCATTTGTTTCTTGAATACTAGCTCTTGTATCTTGTTGGAATAGTTGTGTTTCTTGTTAAAACTGCAAAGTGTTAGTAGCAAGAGATTTAACAATATCTTCTAGATTCATACCTGAGCTAGAGTTTTGAGTTGGTTGTAGTCTTGAAGGAAATGGTTGTCTGTACTGTTGAAAATTTGAACGATTCTGAACAAACTGGTTCCCTTGTGAGTTCCCATAGCTAAGGTTCGGGTGATCCCTCCATCCAGGATTATATGTATTGGATAATGGATCATACTTACCTTGAGGTTGTCCAGAAAAACCTCCAACCATGTTGACTTGTTCAATAGGTTCTTCTTGAAGAGTTGGGTAGACATCAGTTTGGTTAGATGGTTGGACAAGTCTATCGCCAAACAAATTCCACATGCTTTTACAGTTTGCATATTGCCTACTGCTAATTGACGGACAAGAGTAGTTAAACCAGAAATTTGTTGTTCAAGAGCAGAAATATTTACCACATTCACTTGCTTAGATGGTTGGACAAGTCTATTGCCAAACTATTGAGAATTTGTAGACATGTTTGCAATTAGAGTTCTTGGAGCGTCTGGTGTCTTGTCAACTAAAGCATCACCGCTTGCGGCATCAATCATGCTCCTATCAGTCGGAAAAAGTCCTTCATAAAAGTATTGAATGAGTAATTGATCACTAATTTGATGGTGTGGGCAACTTGCACAAATCTTCTTGAAACGCTCCCAATATTCATACAATGACTCTCCATTGTTTGGCCTTACACCACAGATTTCCTTTCTAATGTTGCCCGCCCTTGAAGCTGGGAAATATTTTTCAAGGAACGCTGTCTTCAGGTTATTCTATGTGGTAATGCTCCCAGAAGGTAGATAGTATAGCCAATCCTTCACTGAATCTTTCAACGAAAAGGGGAAGGCTCTCAACTTGATTTGTTCCTCAGTAACTGTTACACACCCAAAGAAATGGGTGGTTTACTCACGCAGAAGAGGAATTCAAGACAAGAATGGGAAGCAGGAAATTGGGACAGCAAATCAAGCTAATCAGATAGAAAATGGGAAAGCTTAAATCATGGGATTTAAAGGGAATAAATCAGTCTCACAATCCTCTCCTTTTCCCTTATTTGTTCACTGTTTGACACTATAAAAATGTAATCTCTTAGTAAGAGGTAGGCATCAAATAATTTTCTCTTAATTCCCTTTGAGCTCTAGTAGCTAGGCAGGAACTAGTTCTTGCTGGAGGTGTCAATCTGTTGGCAGCCTTGTTTTGTTTCCGTTCCTTCCCTTCTTATTCAATAAAAAAGCCCTCCTCCTATCATTATCTACTGTCCCTGTTTCTTCACTCTAACAATTTGGTCCGACCTGCCGGGCAATGACAAATACACGAATGGACTCTCGTGTTGAAGCGTTAGAGAAGAACCAGGAAGAAATGCATACTGAAATCGAATCCTTACGTTCTGACATGACTAGCCGTATGGATAGTATAGACGGTACCCTTGCCAAGATGTCTGAATTGCTGTTTTCATTACATGGGAAACATTCTGCAGAATCTAGTGTATCTCCGGTGGCTGTTCCTGGTGAAAATTCTCCAGACACTACCAACTCCACCCCGGTACCATTACCGCAGGTTCCTCCGGTCAGTCATCCGCTACAATCTAACAGATTAGAGATTCCAACATTTGATGGCACAGATCCAGTAGGATGGCTGGCTCGGGCAGATCAATTCTTTGCCATTCACTGCACACGTGATGATTTGAAGGTGCCAACGGCTTTCATCAGTATGGAAGGACCGGCACTCCATTGGCTCCGATGGTTGCAACAACAACATCCGTCTCTCACGTGGAGTCAATTTACAGCAGAACTTTTGGACGAATTTGGTGGTGGACTTTCCGGGCATCCGATTGAACAATTAGCCGCGATGCGCCAAACGGGAACTGTTGATGATTTTGCCAATACATTTAGGGCTCGTGTTGCCCAAATTCCCGGTTTGGCATCTCACATTCAATTAGGGCTTTTTCTGAATGGTTTGAAACCAGCAATTAGGGTGCGGCTCCGACCGAATGATGTAATAGACCTCCGAACGGCAATGCGTGTGGCTCGCGCTGTGGAACGGGAGATTGAATTTGTTTCCACTGGTCGACTTCCGGGGCGTCATCTACACGACGAAGATGCAGCGTTCAAATCCCCTTTGCATAATAAATCCACTTGGTCTACTGGGCTTGAGAAGACTTATCAAACCCATTCTTCTTCAAGATATTCTCAGCCCAAACCCAATCCAGCCCAATCCCAATTTCACAGTAAAAATCCAGCATCATCCTTCTCTTCCCAGACACAAACGCCGTTTCCTTCTACGCAATCTTCCCTGCGCACCTCTGGAACGTTAATGTCTCGGACTCCACCACGTCGTTATTCCAACAAGGAGTACCTCGACATGCGTGCACGAGGGCTCTGTTTTAGATGTCAGCAACCTTATAGTCCATTACATGTCTGCCCCAATAAATCACTTCAAACATTGATAGCAGGAGAAGATGAAGAGAGTGATGAAGGCGGCCACATCAGTGACAATAATCCTATCGTCGGGGGAGATTTTCCGACAGATGCTTCACAATTCTCCCTGCTTGAGCTTCCGTTGACTGCCATGGGAGGAATTGACGGACCAAAAACAATGAAATTTCGGGGTAGAATTGCGGACATGGATGTTGTTATAATGGTGGATAGTGGGGCAAGTCACAATTTCATCTCCCACCATTTAATTGATCGCATCCCGCACCCATTGGAACCTACCACGAAGTTCAGCGTGCGTTTGGGCGATGGGCGTCGAACTGAATCAGACGGTAAATTTCCACATCTTCCAGTTGATTTGGGTCCAATAAAAATGAAATTAGACTGTTTTGTTTTTCCTCTGGGAGGGGTGGACTTGATTCTGGGCATCGCTTGGCTGGAAACACTAGGGGATGTCAAGGCAAATTGCGCAAAGCTAACCATGGAATTTGAATTCAATGTTGCTCCTATCCCATTGGTTGGTGACCCGGCTCTAGCTCGTTTACCTATTTCCTACAACTCATTAGAAAAAATGGATGACTTTGAATATTGTGGTTTGCTATGGGAGATCTCGGTTTTGCCAACAACAATACAGAGTACTAGTGACATTTCTACAAGTGAACTTTCGCAGTTGGGGGAACTTTTGTAGCAACACCAACAGGTTTTTGGGGAACCCCACGGACTGCCTCCTTTCCGACAGAATGACCATCAAATTATCTTAAAAACAGGATCGTCCCCGGTGAGTGTAATCCCTTATCGTTATGGCCATAATCAGAAAAATGAGATTGAAAGATTGGTGGGTGACATGCTTACTGCGGGAATCATCCAGCCTAGTTCATCTCCATTTTCCAGCCCTGTTTTATTAGTCAAGAAAAAGGATGGTAGTTGGCGTTTTTGCGTTGACTATCGGGAACTCAACAAGGTGACGATACCAGATAAATATCCCATTCCAGTGATACAGGAAATGTTGGATGAACTTCATGGTGCACGGTACTTTTCCAAGCTTGACCTCCGTTCCGGTTACCACCAGATTTGAGTAGCTCCAGCCGATGTTGCCAAAACAGCATTTCGTACGCACTCAGGACACTACGAGTTCTTGGTAATGCCGTTTGGGTTGACTAATGCGCCGGCCACTTTCCAAGCAATAATGAATGACATATTCCGGCCTTATCTTCGTCAATTCGTCTTGGTATTTTTTGACGACATTCTGGTGTACAGTATGAATTGGAAGGACCATTTAAAACACTTGGCAGTGGTTTTAGAGACTCTCTGCGAACATACACTGAAGGCTAATCTCAAAAAATGTCAGTTCGGGCAGACTACTGTGGAGTATTTGGGCCACATCGTTTCTCAATTCGGGGTGGCCATGGACCCATCTAAGGTTTCAAGTGTTCTCCGTTGGCTCGTACCCAAATCCATCAAGGCTATTCGAGGGTTCTTGGGACTCACAGGCTATTATCGAAGGTTCATTAAAGATTACGGCAAAATAGCACAGCCTCTCACAGTGCTTTTAAAGAAAGAAGCAAGGGACAAATTCATATGGTCTGATGCGGCACAAAGAGCTTTTGAAGAACTCAAAATTGCAGTAACCACCTCTCCTGTGTTGGCAACTCCAGATTTTTCCCAACCTTTTATAATTGAATGTGATGCATCAGGAGCAGGGATTGGGGCAGTGTTACTCCAAGGACAGCGGCCACTCGCATATTTTAGCAAAGGACTCTCCGGTTAGGCCTTGGCCAAATCAACATATGAAAAGGAACTAATGGCCCTGGTTTTGACAATCCAGCATTGGAGGCTGTATCTCATGGGGCGACGATTTCTAGTGCGTACAGACCATCGTAGTCTCCGCTACTTATTGCAGCAGCGCATCACTACCCCAGCTCAGCAAAATTGGGTGGCCAAGCTTATGGGGTATGATTTTGAAGTTGTGTACAAGCCAGGGAGATTGAATAATGCAGCAGATGCTTTATCTCGGCAAAATGAAGACCTCGAAATATTAGCATTGTCCCTACCAATATGGATAGATTGGGATGAATTAGATAACGAAATTTCTAAGGACTCCGAATTAAGCCGTATCGTTCAACAGCTCCGGAACAACCCAACCAGCCACCCTCCCTTCCAACTTCTTCAAGGGCGTTTATTCTATAAGGGACGCATTGCTCTACCAGCCACGTCACCTTGGATTCCTCGCTTCTTAGAGGAATTTCACGCTACACCAATGGGGGGGCATTCCGGAGCTTATCGCACGTACCGCCGACTTGCCACCAGTGTTTATTGGAAAGGTATGATGAAGCGAATTCAGAACTTCGTGGCAGAATGCCTTGTGTGTCAAAAGAATAAATACGACACAATGGCACCAGCCAGGTTGCTGCAACCTCTCCCTATTCCAACAGCGGTGTGGGAAGACATTACAATGGATTTCATCAAGGTCTGCCACGTTCCTACGGATTTGATTGCATCTGGGTGGTCATCGACCGGTTCACCAAATACGCCCACTTTATAGGACTACGACACCCTTTCACAGCCAGGTCTCTTGCTGGTATATTGGCCGAGGAGATAGTTCGATTGCATGGGGTGCCAAGATCGATAGTCAGTGATCGAGATGCAATTTTTCTAAGAACTTTTTGGAGGGAATTTTTTGATAAATGGGGCACTAAGCTGCGCATGAGTACAGCCTACCACCCGCAGACTGATGGTCAGTCCGAAGTCCTCAACCGATGTCTTGAGCAGTACCTACGGTGTATGACATCCGAACAGCCAAAGCAATGGGGACGCTTCCTCCATTGGGCTGAATATTGGTATAATACCACCTTTCATAGTGCTGCAGGACTCACCCCATTCCAAATTGTGTACGGGCAACCACCACCAACATTGATACAACATTTACCAGGGGAGTTTAAAGTCCAGACAGTGGCTGATGAACATATGGATAGAAACGAGATGCTCAGACAACTTCGTTATAATTTGGAAAAGGCTCAGAATCGGATGACAAAAGTTGCAAACACTAAGCGGCGTGATCTGGAATTTACTGTAGGAGACAAGGTTCTATTGAAGCTCCGGCCGCACCGCCAATCCACACTCCACAATCGAGTAAACCAAAAGCTGGCTCCCCGTTACTATGGCCCATTCACGGTTCTCCAAAAATTCAATTCTGTTGCCTACAAATTAGCATTGCCTACTACTGCAAAGGTCCACCCAGTATTTCATGTGTCACAACTCCGACGTGTTGCAGGCACTCATACACCAATTACTGACCTACCCCGAGACATGGCGGTTACGGAACCAGGTTATGAACCGCATACTATTCTGGAGACTCGTGAACAGCACGGAGTTTCCCAGATTCTAGTCCAATGGGAGGGCCGCTCTAAAGACGATGCTACATGGATGGACGTGTCCAATTTCCGGGGGCAGTTTCCACACTTCAACCTTGAGGACAAGGTTGTTTCCCTGGAGGGTGGCAATGTTACACACCCAAAGAAATGGGTGGTTTACTCACGCAGAAGAGGTATTCAAGACAAGAATGGGAAGCAGGAAATTGGGACAGCAAATCAAGCTAATCAGATAGAAAATGGGAAAGCTTAAATCATGGGATTTAAAGGGAATAAATCAGTCTCACAATCCTCTCCTTTTCCCTTATTTGTTCACTGTTTGACACTATAAAAATGTAATCTCTTAGTAAGAGGTAGGCATCAAATAATTTTCTCTTAATTCCCTTTGAGCTCTAGTAGCTGGGCAGGAACTAGTTCTTGCTGGAGGTGTCAATCTGTTGGCAGCCTTGTTTTGTTTCCGTTCCTTCCCTTCTTATTCAATAAAAAAGCCCTCCTCCTATCATTATCTACTGTCCCT